GGGGTTCAAAAAACGTGTAGACGTGGTACCTGGGGACGTGGTTTAGCAGGCGTGGGGGTGTTTTGTTGACAATGAGACTTCATGATCTTAGAGGTCTTTTCCAACCTATGTCTCTATATGGTTCAAATTAACTCCAGAACAAATCCAAGGGATCTTTCCCCTTTCACACCACGTGTCCGGAGAGCGCATGGATAAGCTGTCAGCGTTGTCTACGTGCTGGCAGACTTTATTCTGTGGTAGCTGGTCTCTCGGTGCGCTCTAACATCGCACTTTATTTCTCCAGACTCCAAAAGTCGATATGTGCTCGAAGCTCGGGATGGATTTGAAGCGAACGATGCTGCTGCGACTCGCGCGGCGAGATCCTAAACTGCATCCCGACGATCCAGCCAGGAGAGAGGCCATCTATAACAAGTACCAGGTGGGTGCCTGCCCCGCTCCCTGCAGCGGTTGCTGCTGTTTGTCTGCTGTTTGCTGCAGTTGTTTGCTGCTTGTGCAGGCTGATGATGCCCTGATTGCCCTGGCACAGTGCAAACCGGTGTTGATGCTCCTGCCTTTAGAGTTAGGGGTGTGGGCAGAGAAGACCTGAACATCGTCTGTCAGGTTCTCCTTGTCTCTCTCAGCTGCTAATTTCTGTACTGGTTTAGGAAGATGAAAGCCTGTATTTTTGCTGTGACCAGGGTCAGTCAGGGTCTGTAATAAGCACGGGGAGGAGGTGGCACTGCTGACAGCAGTGAGAATTCGTACTGGTGCTGCAGCAAGGAACCCAGGCTGCCCGTGTGCGGGTTAGTTTTGTGCAGTTGGCAATGGCTGCCAGGACAGAAACACTCCCAGTGTCCACAGTCCGTGGAGTTGTGCTGAGAAACAGCCCCAGAACTCCACAAAGGAGAGGCACAGCAACGGACACGACTGATCAGGGGAAGCAGGGCCCTTGCTAAGGGAAAAGGAGAGCAGGGAAGTGGACTTTGTGTGCTGGAAATGAGGGACCTGGTGTGTTAAGATTTATCCGTAGCAACATTCCTACCACATCCCATGTTTGTGTGCGTTGGGCATAGAAAGGATTTGCATCTTGGTCACCTTGAAAGACTGTACCACCTGCTCCTTCTTTTCTCCCAGGAATTTGCAATCCCAGAAGAGGAAGCTGAATGGGTTGGCTTGAGTTTAGAAGAAGCGATAGAAAAACAGAGGCTCCGAGAGAAAAAGGTGAGTTCCTGAGGCAGTGCTTAGCACCGAGGTGCCTTAGGCGCGTCAGGCTGTGCGCCCAGCTGGTCTGAGCAGCCTGAGCGATGGAAGCGGTGCTCCGAAACTCCCGCGCAGCCATATGAGCTTGGCTAAACTTGGGTGTCCAAAACCTGGGGCTGGGTTAAAGCACGTCGTAAACTGGGTCCCCTGATCAGAGGAGAAATACTCATATCTCCTGCCCCGCTGTGTGAGCATCTTTGCCTTTGCTTGCCATCTGCTGTACTTACTGTGCTTGGGGACATGTGGATGCAAGCTCGGGGCTCGCTCAGTCTGAGACCCTCTCGCTGCAGCTCGCTTGTTAGGAGCGATGTGCAGAGGAGGGTGCACCGGGGAGCTGCTGGGGCAGAAGGGCTTCCTGGAGTGGTGGAGTCTCGTGGTGACATTTCCCCCAGACCTGTTGGCTCCCGTTGCGGCTGCAGCAGGGCTGGAAGGGTCAGGAGCACTGTGGGAGGTGGTGCTGAACCCTGAGCCCTGCGGAGCTGCAGCTTCTCGGAGTAGTATGTTCACCCAGCATGCTTCAGTACAGCTGTGATAGAGGACAGCATGAGGAGGGAGGCAAGTATTTTTAGAAGGAGAGGGATCGCTGGGAGCTGCTGATTCTTCTCTGCAGGCAGAACTGGGAAAGCTGGTGAATGTCCCACACAGGTGCCTGTCATCTCTGAGGCAAGGTGGCAGAGCTGAGCAGCAGCTGTGTCTGGAGGAGTAGCAGACTGCCTTGTTCTGGCACTGAAAACACCCGGTCGCATCTTCCCCTGGTTTTACCTGTTAGCACTCCTGCAGCATGGGCTCACTGTTATACTTCACCCCTTCCTGCTGCTCGGGTTCGCTCCGTTGAGTGGTTTGTGCTCTGCCTTGTTTCAGGACCCTGTCCCGCTCTTTAAGGTGTACGCGGAAGAGCTCGTCAGCCAGCTGAAAGAACAGGCACTGCAGAAGCAGTAGAAGGAAAGAAACCTTTGGAGCAAACCCCCTGGTGCAGATCAAGCTGTGGGGTTCAGCGAGTCTCCCGCCTGAACGACGCCTGAGTGCAAGGGACCACGTGGAGAGCATGCCCAGGAGCATGTTGCGGTTATCAGAGCCCAATGACAGCCTGAGTTCAGTGAGGGATCGTTCCTGTGGGCCAAGGAAAGAATTTCTGTCCTGTGGCCTCTGGAAGGGCTCTTGTAAGACTGACTTCGTGTGGTTCTTCTGCCTGGACGGGGGGTTGACTGCTGTTGAGAGCTTGATCACGCTATAAAATGAAATACACAGTTTGGGAATATCGGTAAACTTTTCTCTGATGCTCGTTGCTCGTTAGCATATTATGGCAGGGCCTGCAAGGTGCAGTGGTGCTGTAATTTAAATCCATCCCCAGCCCCCTCCTGCAGCAGAGGCGACTGTGCCCCCCCACACGACCCGAAACCCCTGTCTGATGGGGCCT